ATGTTTGTAACAACGCATAGTAAAAAAATCCAAAATTTTGATAAACAGCAAAAATTAGCACTCAGCGTCATGTAATTGTAAGAAAGTGCCTCACCAAGGATATTCAGAGGACGAGATTTCGTGTCCTATCGTCCATTAATTACGCTATTGTTGCGCTTTTCCTTGAGCAATCGTCTTCTGTATTACATTTTAATCGTCATGGAAGCATAAATGTATTTTGAGGAAATGTTTACCCCAAATGACTGATGAGAAACATATATGTCTATAGCGCATGACTTTTATACGAGATCCTGTAGAGGCCTGTCAACCAAATCCTGTAGAATGCCACGATTGCGTTCGTTCCAATCAACTTTCCCCACAGTAACATAGCCATGCGGTCATCGAGGATGAAGAGATATGGGTAAACTTAATAAGGGTTAAAATTGTTTGGCAGCAAAGTAATTTGAAGGTTTTTGGCACGATGAGAATTGAAATAGTATCTTGAAAAATGATCTGAAATTATTTTTTATGTTCACTCATAATTTGTAATTTTAAAGAGAACTTATTCACTGTATTTATTGAACCTATTTACTGCTTTACCAATGCAAAAAACTCTAAAAACGCAATTTTTAGAATTTCAATGATTCGTCGCTTTTTCGGCTTTTTGTACATTATTTCGTTGGTGTCATCGTATAGTCCTTTTCCAAAGCTTATACTCATATTGTTTGATGGTTTTCGATATGACAAGCTGAACTCGGAATTAGTAAGTCATTTTCTTTTTCACTCATTCTTCGTGACCGAAATGTGCCAACAAGCAATGTTTAACAAGGTTCCGAGAATAGCGCAGTGGGCTGCTAAGGGAGCTCATTTTGTCAATGGAGTACAACCACAGTATCCCACATTCACAGCCGTAAACCATATGGCCATTGCAACAGGTAAAAGAAGTACTGTAAAGCGCATGAAAATTTAACAACAATATATTTGCAGGTCTCTTCACAGAAAGTCATGGTATTGTCTCGAATACTTTCTATGATAAGGCTACGTCTAAATTGTAAGCGGATTTGTTTATTTCGCAATTTCA